TCGGGGGGGGGGGGTGTATTAATATTAAACAGTAAAATGGAACCATTTGAATTTCTCTTTGCACTTCCAAATATTCTCTTAATCTTTTCTTAACATATTTTTCGTTCTTATAATATTTCTCAGGTCATTGGGAAGAGTGAGTCTCGGTCACACTGTATTTATATCTGGTTTGACATGCAAGGAGTCGAAACAAAAGTGGTGAGCACCTCCAACTTCAATGTTAAAAACTGACGCACACGACTAGCCATCACATAAGGAAAAAGATAATTGTGAAAATTGACAATGTAAAATAGAACGAATCTTTTAATACTTGCTTCAAACTTCAAAGTGTTGCCTAGTTCCCTTTTCCATCATATTGTCTGCTCTATCTGGTTTATCTGTGTTAGTTTATAATGCGTTTTTGTACTCTGGTTGAAGTATCCACATAATCATACAATGCAGTTGAATGTTTTTGGATTAACAGTCTGGAAGTATTATGGTTTGAGAATGGTATTGGGGCTTCTTTCATCAATCTCAGTTGCTTACCATCATTGATCAACTCATCTTGCCTTCATAAGCTATTGCAACTCTCTGATATTTCTGACCAGACTAGCTATCCGCAAGTAAGAGTTAAATATTAGTATTATTTGAATGTCTATTTGACTTTTTTCTGTCTGGTTTTAATTATTACCGTAAGCTTTTTTGAATAAAGTAAATATAAACCGCTATTCAGTAGACAAGCTTAAAAAACACTATTAAACTTATATTTCTATGCAGTATTCAAGTTACTATTGTCTTCTGTGTTATTAACATTTTTCAGGCAAATCATTAATTATAGCCATTGCAATTTGATATCATGTACCCGAACATATTATATTTTGTATTTGAAACAAGACATCTTGCAATAACCTTAGCTACTTTTGTACTTTATTTTATTGTTGGATCTTGATATTCCTTGTTTCTTCAATGTACGCACATGGTCAACCATAATGAACGAAGCACTAGTGAAAACACCAGATGACCCAAGTCTGTTTCATTTTATTTCATTTCTTTCTCTCTATTTCTTTGATTATTCTAATTTTTGAGATATAAATGAAACGGAGAAGTGTCACAAAATAAAAAATATTTATATTTCCCAAAAGTACAGTAATGAAGGAGAGAAATTTTTTTTCCCTTGATTGATGCCCGGGCTTGTAGTGTACCGGTCGGAACTAGTTCTTTGACCTTTGGTCCCTTTTACTGTTTTGTTTCTCACACCTAGCCTCATCTAGAAAAGCGCATTTCGCATGCAAGAAATGCAACAGAGTTGGTGTATGTGGAACGTCAAACTGCCATATGCTCAATCTTCACGAATTTTATTAGAATATGTAAAATTGTACAATTAGAAAAAGGTATTAGATAATATTATTGGTGTAATGAAAAATAGAGAGCAAGATAATATTTTTAAAATATTGCGTATGTAATAGATTTCATTATATTATTATCGTCAAATATAACTGACCGTACTTGTAGACGGTTCTGAATCTCTTTC